CTTCCATCCTTCCGAGGTGGGGAAAATGAGGACCCAGATTGGTGTGGTCAATATGCTGACTCTCTGTAAACCGCTTAGAGAGGCCTGAAAGGCCTATGAAGCGGTATATAAGTCTACTGCTATTGCTATTGCTATTGCTAAAATGTGTCACCCCTTAATTTTCCATTGACAAAAGTTGATCCTTTAGAGGTTTGGAAATGTTAAGAAAATCCCCTCACTCCCACCCCCAATACAGAGATTTAAATCTGCCGATTCCTGAAGTGCATAGAGATTAGGAATGACTACCAGGAACCTATGAAGTCTGCAACCTAAGTGTTCTCAATATTCTTTCCATTATTTTCTTAATAGTAAATAGGGTATGATCGTGGGAAAACTCAACTCATTGTCTTGAAATTGCCTGTGTTTGTAACAGTTTTAATTTTGTTGGTTCATCTATGGATAAACAAAGGTGGCTGAGACGAATTGAAATAATTTAGAATGTCAGCAAAAGCAAAAGTTCACAGAGGAAAAAAGGCTCCAGCTCAGAATCTAAACAGAGCTACTTGGTTTTCTAATTCTGTGGTATATAAATTCACTTATTCTTTAGCAGAGAATAATTCTTGCTCCTTTTTTAATTAGTTGACACATATTCAGTATAGAGGGTTTATTTTAAAAAATAAATTTCATTTTACTACTTATTTCATGAACTTGTTTACACTTTAGTGCTTCTTAACTCTGTAAGGAGAGAAAGAAGATCTTATTTGCTGCATTTACTCAAATGTGCATTTTAAAATCAAGAATCTCACACTTATTGTCATTTTACTGGGGGGGGTCTATTTTCTTTTCAATTAAAAAAAATCCCTGCTCACCCATAAGGATGAGATATGTTTTCCTCAGTGATAGGTCCTTAAGAGTTTGAGGGGTCTGCTCAGTATCTTAGCCATTCCTAACACTGCCCTCTTCTGAGCAGATGTCTGATGTTATTCCCGTGGTCTGTCAGAGCCACTCTTCCAGCTTAAGTGTCATAGTCCCAAATGCTCCTATCACCACTGGGACACTTTGGCCTTTACTTTCCACATCCTCTCTAGTTCCATCTCCAGGCCTTGGTACTTCTCCAGCTCCTCATATTACTTCATGATGTTGCTGTTACTTGGCTCTGTAACACAACAGGCTCCACTACATCTATCACCACTGATGTCTTCTGGTCATTATCTACTATCATGATATCTGATTGATTAGCTAGTACCTACCGGTTCATCTGGATCTGGAAATCCCACAAAAATTTAGCCCTCGTATTCTCCACAACCTTCCATGGAATCTCCCATCTGGACTTGGGATACTCTAGCGAATCTATGGCACTCATGTCAGAGATGACACGCAGAGACCTCTCTGTGGGTACATGCAGCATTGCCAGCTGCTTCTCATTTTCCTGTAGTAAAGGCGCGAGGGGCTACAACAGGATTTAGTCACAGCCTGATTGGTCCAGAGACTGAGGGATTTTTCTTACGTATCCTCCTTTCCCTCGGCTCCCAGTTTCCCTCAGTCTTTGGTCCAAGCACTAGCTGTGGCTCCAGTGAGGTACAATTAAACCATTGATTCGATTAATAGGATATCCTAAATTTGATTTAAACAGACTGTGACCAAAAGAGACTGTTATAGTCTCACGGAGAAAGAGGGAGGGGGTTTGCCTCCTATCCTGCGGCCAGTCAGTGAACTGCCGGCTCCTTCAGAGCTCAGTAGCAGCAGTTTCTCAAATTACAGTCTCCGCAGCTCAAATGCGGCCTCTAGCGATTTAAGATTTACTGCTCAGCCGATCTGCTTTCAGCGCCGCCGCCGGAGCTTCGCCGTGGCTTCAAAGAGCTGCCGTGGCCTGATTTACAATCGGAGGCAGCACTTGTTTGAATTAGCCAAACGGTGTGGCACGGCCCGTGGAAGTGGAGGACTGTGAATCAGGGCGCAGGAGTCTCAAGGACTCGGCTCATTGCGAGGCTAATCCCCCAGAGCCTGTTTTCACCACCCACAAGGCATGGTGGCCATTTTTGGGTGCGACCTCGTGGGCGGCGGCCTCTTGCCTCAATACCAGCAGCAGCCTGCACAGGGCTGCTAATCGAGGCCCGCAGGTGACAAGGCACAACAGGATTCGATCAGGTCTGCAGCGCAGCCAGGGACCGAGGCCGGCAGACAAACACAGTCCATCCAACAGCACATGAGTGAGGCATGGCCTCTACAACTGAAGAACCCGCACAGGCCCAAGGAGATCTGGCGGAGGAGGCCCAGGGCAGCGGCCTACAGCCGATCAGCGCCCTTCCAGAGCAGCCACTAGAGATGAATCCAGAAGACAAAAAGCCCTGGAAAAACAGGTGGCTAGGGCAGAAAGGCTGGCTCAGGCGGCTAGGCCTGAATCCTCCAGCAGATCGAG